GGATCTTCATCAGGCCGATCAGGATGTCAAAACATTTTCTCTCTTCTTGCGAAGGTCGTCAAAAGGCGTAAAACACGTAAAAGGCGTACAGTATTTTAATTACAGTACTAGAAGAGAGAGAGAGAGAGAAATTCTTTAGAGAAATTACTACTCATAACTTCTAAGAGAGGTTATGTTTTCGTTTATAATCTCTCAAAGCCACTGACAGTGATGCAACGAAACATTGTACCAAATCCAAATTGCAAAACTCAACAATTAAATTGACCTGAACAGCTGATTAGTTGATGTTAAAATCATTACAATTATACTTCTTCTCTCTCAGTTCTTGAACCTCATTGGTCCGTTACCCGTGTTGTTGAAACTACGCTGTGGTAATCCTGAGCAATTACTTGGTCAACCCCATTTTTTTTCATAGATTACTACGGTCATCAGGATGTTCTTAGAAAACAAGAAACATATGATTTAAGCCCCGCAAGGTTAAGTTAGGTTAGGTTAGGTTAGGTTAAGTTAGGTTATGTTATGAATTAACCTAACCTTACCTAACCTTACCTAACCTAACCTAACCAAACATAACGGTACTGTCGCAACTGGCTTTAGAGATGTATGTGAAACTAAAAAAAACATAATTCAGCCCGGGAAAGTTAATATATGTTATATACAAATAGAAATTACCTCAGTAATCGCCGGGTTCTTCGTCCTCATCCGACATCCGAGTCAGCTGCAACTGGATCAGTGTTGTGTTGCGAAGGTTCCCCGTTGTAAACTTCACCGATAGCCCGAAACAAATGGTGTAGACTCGATTATATTCCAACAGTTAAATATGTGTTTTTCTTCATTTAACGTCATCGACCCGCCACATTGTGGACACACTTTGGTACGTTGCAAAACGCTATGTTCGTACAAAAAACGTGTTAACTTTTCCCGATCTTCACTTAAAACCGTGAAACTAAGTAACGTGTTTCACCCGTCACATAAAAAAGGATTATCGGAGGAACCACTAGCCATAGCCATAACGGTACTGTCACAACTGGCCCTCCGCGCGTCTCCTGCAAGCCACTGTTACTGGTTGGAATTTGAAAGTTCTTATCATTCTGCAACCTGTACGATGGCCTTGCGGGGCTTAAATTATATGTTTCTTCTTTTATAAGAACATCCTGATGACCGTAGTAAAGTATGAAAAAATTGGGGTTGACCAAGTAATTGCTCATAACTACCTATGCAGTTATAAAAGGAAACAATGGTGTTATGGGACACTTTTCAATTCTAAGATCTGAACTGAAATGGCTACTTTAAAAAACTGTCGTAGGTAAAACATTTTACAATCTTCGTCATCTATTCATATCCTTACACGTGACATGTATAACGTTCTAATTAGATAATATTTATGCATGAGCTGAAGTTTATGCTTGACAAGGTTCAGAACGTGCCAAGGGGTGAGTGGTGGAGGGCGGCGGGGCGATGCAGCAAACTTGCATGTCTCGTCAAGACGATTTCAGGGTACGACTTTACTTTCACCACTTGGTTATGGAATCGATATTTTCAAGGCGATTGCTTCTTAATGGATATTTTGCTATCGTAAAATAATAATAGTTTTTACCATATTATTTATGTAACTTTTCATGAATGTTTAACATATTTTCGCAAGGGAATATTTATAAAGTGGGTAAAAACTTTTTGACCTTTTAACTATATTGAGCAGATAGATTAACCTTCAACGTTTATAAACTTCAACAAATGAGGAAACACATAATATTATAATCGGAGGAGATATGATTCAATAGAATATGCCACCATCCAGGAGTTCAAATCTAACGACCAACGAACGAGCGTCATTTGTTGAATCTGTATTCAAAGGGGTGTAAGGTACTATTTTTATACAATGAATAATTTTATATTTATCATTTATTCAAGTTCAGCCACATATAGAAGGTAATTAATCACACTAATTATAAGATATCTCACAATCTAGGAGATATATCTTATAATTAGTTTGATAATTTACCAAATTCCTTATAAATGCAGAATAATTTTTGATAAATGGTACAATTTGTTTGCACAATTCCTAACCAATGCTTCGCAGACTCATTTCAAACTTATTTAGAAACATTCTTTATGCAAAATTTGGGTTATATGTGTTATTCGGAAACTATTTTCATGTTTTATTAGTGGGCTACATATACGAGGGGTGTTCAATAAAGACTGACAGTAGCGAACATGTAGACAAACGAAGTACAATAATTAGCTTTTTTCAAGTTGGTATGAAACATTGAAGTATTGGCAACAACCAAATCAGCTGTTAACCTTATGGCATACGTACTGTTGTCAAGGCAACCGATAAATATACAGTTGCAAATTTTTATCTCTAAAGTTTACTATGGCAGATTTTTGTGAGCAAAGATATGCAATAACATTTTGTGTAAAACTGAGGAACAGTGCTACAGATACTTACAGCGACTTGGAAAATTGATTTTGGGAGTGATATTACGAGTGAAAGAACCTGTTTCAGGTAACATAAAGACTTTTAAAATGGATGGGAATCATGTGAGTAGGAAGATATTACGTTCTTTGATTATGAAGGTATGTTGTATACCCATACTGTACCACAGGGTCAGACAATTAATGGGGGGGGGGGGTGTACTACATTTTAGTATAGTTTCCCAACTGCTACAGTGGCTGTCAAGGCTTTAGAGGATATTTTGAAGGTTCTGTCTAAGGAGGGATTTAAACACGTCTTCAAGGAGTGGCAGAGCGCCGGAACAGTTGTTTGACTTTGAATTGCGACTACTTAGAAGGAGATACAAATGTTAAAGTCTAAACTTTTATATTAAAGGTATTGAAAGAGTACTGTCAGTCTTCATTGAACACCCCTCGTTGTTAGTAGTAAAACAATAATTATTTTTTCATTAAAATAATGTTTAAAATGCCCTTTATATTATATTTCCCATATAGGGAATAAGCTACTATATGTATTACCGTAGGTCTCATGGTAAGACCTGGCCCCGGGACCGAGTTTTTTTGTTTTGATGTCCCCAGGGCCAAAATCATTATCCTTTCAAATGCATAGATATTACCAAATAAACAACTTTGAAATATTGGGCTATACATGTATACATTTGTGTGTCTGTCCGTTAGCACGATCATTTAAGCAAAAATCGATTTCGATTAATTTTGTACAAACTTGAACGTACGTTTATTCGATCGAGTTCGCGAACCAGTATGATCAGGCCATACCTGAATTGGGGTTCCCCTCAAAAAATTAAATTTTCCTATCCTTCTCCAAACTATTTTGATGAATTTAATAACAAATAATTTATTATATTGAAGTGTAAATTTTCTTTTTTTACGGAGAAAATTAAAAAAATATATTTAAAATTCCCATGTTATTCTTATGGAGAATAAGCAAACTGTTGTAGTTTGCTTGTTAATGGATATATTTTGACCACACTTGGCAAATGAATTTAACAGATTTTATACTAAGCTATTAATACTTTACTAAAACACACTTGATTAGCGTCCCTGTAGCAGCAAACTTATGTACTCGTTAAACCTATTTTTCTTTATTGATTTAATTGAAAATTCACTTGGTCTGCAGGTTTGCTGCGGCGATAGTATTTTTTTGGACACTGGCCCGTCCTTAGGCCTGTGCGTGGAACGTATCAAAGAAATCAAAAGGGGTGAGCCGGTATATTACAAGAGAGAAATCTACCGATTAAAGTGGCAGGTACCAGGATTCGAATCCAAGACGTCGTCCGTCGTGGGCTCATTCTGGCAGTCGACGATATAGTGTTGTTATTTTATATCTATGCTCACACTGAGTAGCAGGGCACGGATGTTTTCCCCCACCAACCCCCGCCAACCCCCTCGCTAAGACCAGGTCAGCTCTGGGGTTTGATTGAGCCCACAGACATGTTGGCCAATCTGTACATTAACTCGTTCCTCATTACCGTCGCTTTTAAATTGCACATAAATTAATACATTTAAATTCGTTAGAAGATTTTAATAATAAATTTTAAACGTCCATTACTGTATATTGTGTTTACACTTCAATATTCTTTTTCCTACTGTCACCCGAACATATACTGTCCTTGTACTGTTTATAGTACAGATAGTTGCTAATTGCTGCATTTATACTTTGTCGAACGGTTTATACTTTTTCGTACTGTTTATAATTTGGCGCACATCAGGATTCCAACCAAACAACACAAAACAGCGTGGTTTTATTATGCAATCCGTGTAGGCTTGGAAATAGGTTGGCAACACTTAAAGATAATAATACTATGATCAGCTGATTGACTATTATAACTACGATTTAACCTGTCATTTCGTGTTTATAGTTTGTGTTCCATTTTCGTTCATCGCTTGGTTTGAACACAACCTGAAGTGTAGTATTTGAAAGATTAATTATAAGTGGGCCTAACATGTTTGAAAATAATGAAAATATGATGGTAGACCAGAAATAGCAGAAACTGAAAAAATGTTTCATTAAACCTGTTACTGTACCTGAAAAATTAAGAAAGAAGTATGAACGAGCATACAAACTGTTTTCCTCTTGGCGCGTAAGTAAGAAAGTTACAAAACTGTCAGAAAATGTTTTATTGCCATATTTTGAAGAACAATCTACTAGTTTATTATGTGTTTCTACTGATTATTACTCTTGAAAATAAGAAACACTTAAAAATACTACGACTAAAATCAGCTGGTGCAGTATTTCTCATTCCGTTCATGGCTTGGGTTTAACTTAACCTAAAAACTTGTTGTATAGTGTTTGAAAGACTAACTATTTATATGCTTTATAGTGACTGTAGGAAAAATATAATGTGTAACACGAGTGCGAAAGGCCTTTGCTGCACTCGAGATCATTCCGCACTTTACGAGCCGCTCTCGTGTGCAGCAAAGTGCCACTTTGCTCCCTAGTTACACAGATAACTATTTTTTCCAAACCTAAACCCATCTTATATTTTATCTGAGGGGTAATTTATTATTCTTTCTGGCTGTTTCAGATTCGAGAATGGAAGGTCCGACAAGGAAATTTTAGACAATTTGTTGAAACAGACGAGATACGACAAGCGCCTGCTACCCCCAGTTACAGGTACATAGTTTCTCCTAACGGTCTTTCTAATGTTTTGAAACACTAATATTCCAAGGGTTTGGAAAGCATTCATACAAACTTCTAAAGCTTTTAATTTCTATTAATAATGATAGCTCTAGTGTAACCCAAACAGGGTTTCCGCATTTACAAAATTAAGATAATGTGTTTCTACACGATATCTTAGCATAATGGAATTCTATTATCTAAAGGCTTCTATGCCAGGAAATAATTTTTGTCACATTTTTCTGATTGTTTGTATATTGATTCGTGGTAACAGTGATAGGCTAGAACAATATAAACTGTAGAAACTGGAGGATTATTTAAACAAAGAATTTATTCTTATGTGCAACCAGGTTTGTCATGATTAGTTCCAACTACCGTACCGCTTCTTTTAAATATTTATTACTTAAACAATGTGATTTTTCTTAAGCCTGTCTCTGTCATATTATCTGATTTGAATTACATTACCTGTTGTGTGCTTGTTGTGTACAGTCCGAGTGCGAATTGTGATGTTTGTTTATTTTTAAGCATTTAAGCTCTTTTCTCTTTGTGCCCTTACTCCCCTGTTCGGAATCTGCCTGCTTTTATCCATAAACATTCTTTTACACCCTGAAACAAGTATTAAACTAGAATGTTCAACCAACCAACCAAACTAACCTCCTTGTGTATTCAAAAATATAATTCCTCAAGCCTCTTAACACTTTCCTTATAACTGCTGTAAAAGATCAAATATTAAATTTATATAAAATTTATAATGACGAAGTTTCTTTCATGTATTGTTTCTTTCCAAGTGATGGAACTCTATTCAATGATACTTCCTGTCTTCAGATTTTGTGGAAGTCCACATAGTTCTTGTCCAAGGAATTCACGCGCAAAGCATTCTACGTTTCATTACTTTTTCCACGATTATATCTCTAACTTTATTATTAGCAAATTCCAATTTTTTTTACCATCGAATAAAGAGTATTCTGTGTTTTAACATATTGGGGATATATATATATATAGGTAGGTCTTATAATAGTCTCAGAAAATCTTAAAATATAAATATATTTGTTAGTACTTTTTTATAAAAAATAAAATTTCATGACAAAATGTATACTAAAAATGTATACATTTATTTCAAAGTCTATTTTGGTTGTTATTAGAGAAGAATCAGGTTTGTTCAGCTAGGATTATAAATGTTTTTAACCTTTCTTGTATTCTTCATAGTTTATAGTTTAGGACAATCACGTTTTCCAAACTTGACGAGGTAACATGGAACTAAAGGATCCTTAACTCATTCAAAAGGTAAACTCCTAGTTTGTAGTCTATTTTCAAGACTTTTACAATTTCAAGTAGTATCGTTTGCAAACACCAGTTGCATAAGTCAACTAATATCGGGATCACTACACCATTGACGGGTAGTCCACATATATAAGATGGTTTTAAAACAGCTGTTACTCAGCTGTTGTTATTCGTAAAATGTTTATTGTTGCAGTAAACGACAACACATAATTATGGTATTTTATTATTCATTGAACAGTACAACATCGTGCCTTTTGCTTGAAGCCTATTCATTTAAGAAATAACGAGTATGTGATTAATACTCAGCGGTTGTTTTAAATTAACTTCAATGACCGTCGTCATTGTGTGGTTTCCTCTAGGAGTACCATCTTGAATTGGGTGTTTAATTTAGGGGCTGCACTTTACTTTAGGTCCTACACTCATTCGAATGAAAATATCGATTATTCGATTGTTTCATTCGATATATCGTTTGGTTAGTTAGGTTAGGTTAACCTTACCTAACTAACCAAACGATATAACTTATAGAATAATCGATATATCGATCGATTTTTTCATTCGAATGAGTGTAGGACCTAAAGTAAAGTGCAGCCAATTTAGGACCTAAGGGACCCGACTTGAAGAATAAACCTCCTCAACTTACAGAGGAGCACATTGCAAGAGAACGAGAATCCGTCCCCCAAAGTCCAAAAATATTCGAAAAATATAATTCTGTTGCTTTAGTTGTTTCTAGGTCCAACATATAATGTATTTTACATCTTTAATTAAATTTTCAATCGTTCAAACAGGTCGTTGGACAGAAGCTCAATCAAGGTGACCCTAGATTACGTCATGTTTAGTCAAAGAGTCTTGCAGGTTATTGAAGTTGAAAACCATTTCGGGCGTCTGGTCTGACGGAGCTCATCTTATAACTATTCGTATTTACATTGGTGAACTCGCAGGTTTAACTTATTTATTAGCTTTTTTTCTTGCCGATCTAAAATTATTCCAAATGTACCCAGGCAGGCCTTAGAAAGATTCTCGTTTACAAATTTCTCTATTTTGAATGTTTTCGTAACTGAAGTGATAAATTTAAGTTTGAATAAGATTACCATTAAACGCATTACACATGTAAAATACTAGGCTACAGTTAACTTTAAAAAATCCTGGTAGATGATTGTCATTAAATAAATGCAAACTTTATTTATGATACTGCACGATATAAAATTATATGAAATTGTTTTTTGAACACACGGAACACACTTTTACTTAAAAGTAAATTATTGTATACATGTACGTAATGTTTAAAAACACGTATGTCTAGGAACCAACGATTACAATTTAATTGTTCGATAATATGCAGATTATCTTCAACTTAATTTACATTTTTTATTTAGAAAACCAACCTTTAAATGATTATTTTCTGTAAAAGCCTGTTATAGTTTTCTGCGACCACTTTAATTCTAAATCGAGTGGAATATTTATTATGATCGATTTATTTTTCCTAATTTGCCACATATCTTTTCATTTTAATGTTAGGTCAATGATTTATGAGCCTTTGGAAAAGTCCCTCAGCTGAACTTAAATTTTAGAATTATTTTAGTTTACATAAAAGAATTTCATGTTCCTTAATAATGTTGATGACTATAATCGAAGTTTTCTGTAATGCTCGGAGAATTTGCATGAGAAATCGCTTAAAAATTAAACCTCTTTAATCTTGGGATGGGTTAGGGACGCAACTTATGACTAGTGAGATTATGTAGACGTTTACACGTCTTGTAACCATCTTACACATTCCAACTACCACATATTTAAATCACTACTCTTTGTAGCCATGTTAAAATTACGGCGATAAAGTTAGGTGGTGAAGATCACATAAATGTTCTGTGTGGAGGACGTCGCCTAGATATAATGCCAAAACCAATCAACCTCAAAGCTCATGAATGTTTTGACTCGTAAAACTTGTATTACATTACATAATTGTTAAAAGTCCCATTTGATTAGTATCTAATTCAGTTAACACTCTCCTATACAGGGTTAGGCAAAAGTCTGGAACCCCCCAGTTAACTTTAAAAATGTAATATTTTAATACTGACCAAAATGTGAATTCTCTTTTTCTTATAAAGGTATGCTGAGTTTAGTTTTCCTGCTACAACCTGTTAAAAAGTTAATAGGGGATATTTCAAAATGACTGCCATTTTGATTACGGGTGCGATATCGACCTCTAGTTTGCGCCATTTAATTTGAGAACCCAAAATGAGCGGTCACATGATAGGTGTTTACATTTGAAAACTTCGGGATGCCCCCATAATACCCCATTTTAGGGGCTGGAGCAAAGTTGTAACTGTGATGAAAAAGTGCAATTTCTTATGTTGTAAATATGTGCCGAGTTTGGTTCTCCTACTGCAACGCGTTAAGAAGACTTTTGCCTAACCCTATAATTATTTCAATATAGGTTTTCTTTCTTTAAAAAAATATCACTTCCAGTATTACTTGAAATTATATAGTTGTATACGGTGTTATATATGTATATTGTATATGTGTGGTTATTCAAATTATGCTATGACATTTTTATAACATACGTTAAAATTAAAAACATACGTTAATTACTTAAAAATTACATGTCGAAGCAGGCAGGTCCGAACTCTGAACTCCACTTATGTATGAATAGCCATGCAGATGGCCTTTAAATTTTATAAATGGGACTTTGCAAGCATTTTGCTGATATTAAAATTAAAAATCTTAGTCTCTTTCTCAAAATATGAAGTTTGATTTGAGGATTACTCAGCATGTGATTAGGTAGATCTAGAGTTAGTTCTGCCAAAGAACTTATTAAAAGTTATTAAACAAAATTGTAATAGGATAGTATTTTTGTTATTGTAAACCATTTTAGCTACAATATATACCATATAAATGCAATTTAATTTTTTTCTTACAAAGTTGTGTAGACTCTTAGGTCATCAAGCTTATTTTTTTGAGTTGAACAGATTTATACATTTTGGAAACTATGCATAACGTTTTAAAATAGTTTTTTTGTAAATTTATTTTGTAACTGACCATAAAAGAGAATATCTCATGTAATATGTCATATTTAATATGTATTAACTTAACGTAAGGTATAGGGAATTTGCCCGTGTCGTATTTAAAGTAACAAATTATAGTTTTTCCTTGCATAGTCTATCTCAAGTAAAACACTTATTTCGAAAAATGTCAAACAATTCTGATATGATGAAATGTGGGTTGTGTGGAGTTGACATGAATCGGTTGTTTTGATGAATAGTCATTGGATGTATCTTCTGTCGAGAGCTGTGATATGTGTGCAGTCATTGATTTGTCCAGTTTTACATTGTAACTTATATAGAGTTCTTTGGTAGAACATGCGTGCGGTATGGTTGTCGTTGCGTTGACGTGGGATGGTGTGATGGTGAGAGGGTGATATGGTGAGAGGGTGATATGGTGAGATGGTAATATGGTGAGATGGGAGTGGTGGCTGTATGGTGGGCTGTGTTACAGATGAAGACTTCTGTTGTGGCATGACATCCCCTTCGAGTCGCCGCACTCTAGATCCTAAGAGAATCTCCAATCGGGGTCGGTTCCTACTTCATCTATTCCATTATTCCCTCTTCAATCGATGTTTTAACTTTATCGTTTTCTGTCTTCCTTATCTGTCAATGATGTTTGTATTAGCCGTCTTCCGTGTCTGCTACCCTCCCACATTCTTCTATCCACGTTTTACAATT